GTGGTGGTAGTGGTGGTAGTGGTAGTAGTGGTAGTAGTTGTAGTAGTGGTAGTAGCAGTAGCAGTAGCAGTAGCAGTAGTAGTAGTAGTAGTAGTAGTAGTAGAAGTAGTAGAAGTAGAAGTAGTAGTAGTAGTAGTAGTAGTAGTAGAAGTAGTAGTAGTAGTAGTAGTAGTAGTAGTAGTCGTCGTAGTTAGTAGTAGTAGTAAGTAGTAAACTAGTATACAATAGGTAGTAGTCGTTGCTGTTGCTGTTGTACATTGGAACAAGGTACCAATTGCAGTCGTCGTAGCTGTAGCGCATCTACTTCTACCACGCTCCTGCAAATCCCGATTTGGGGAATCTCGCTGGAGGAGGTACTCAATAATTACTGGTTGTTGACAGAAGGCGCAACACCTATAAGCAAATGTTGAGACTTGGAAGCCGCTTCCGCTACATAATTTCTGGCATCTCAAGAGCAGTCCTCCGACAGACCTGGCCATCCACTTGTTCACACTCGCCGTACTTGCCATCAGCCCGATGATCGACATGCTCTGAAGTATATTATTTTATGCTTATACTACTTTCTGTCGCCGAAAAGGCTGCATTTTCTCACGGCACTCGATCCGGCTGGAATTTGTCGGTGCCTCTTGGCTCTCGACTTGTTGAGTCAGCTCATCACACTCCTGCACCAATAAGTTCTGCTGACAGATGTCAAGAAGATGGAACTCATAGTCGGCACTTGCTGCCCGATAGTCTCAGTATCGCGGGCTACGTGGCAAACTTTCCACTACACCGTGCTTATGGTGCTAGTGTACTGTACAGTACCTGCTGACTTCTGTGGGGTGGAGGTAGCACCTGCGCCTCATCCTCCCCCAGCCCCGTCCTGCTCGGCTTTGTCAGCCCTCACAAATGCAGGCAGGAAGCAGGAAATACGTACATAAGGTTTCGACTGCCGAGTGCTGTTTGGGGTTTACGCTGGAAGAAATGCTTGTTTTTCATACACATTCCGGAGTACACGAGCCTGCATTGTACTATGCTACCGTGAAGGCAAATGTATACCAAAACGTTGACAACGCTAGTTCGTTGATTTGTACTATGCAGACAATGCTCCGTGCTTTATGTTTTCGGGTGAGCTTCGATATGTCGTCTTCAAAGTTACTTACTTTGCTGGTACCATACCGACCCCATTGCTGCTGTGCCTCTTCGGATGGTTCAACAGACATTCAAGTTGCTTGACATCACTGCATGTTAACACGCTACGTAGTCTATTGAAGGGATCGACTGTGTAGTACCGTCCGTGTGTTGTTATTCAGCACTACTGTGTCGCCGATCTCTTCGCGAAGATTCAAGGGCAGTAAGTAGGTCATCAGCGGCTTCGAAACGGCCATCTGGTTTGCTGGGGCTCATGGCTGCTATAAGCGTGGTTTTCGGAACCTCAGTTCTTTGGATTATGTCATTCTCTCTGCGGAAAGTAGTGCTGAGAGCTTAAACCTTGTTTCCCGTAACCCCATACATAACTTCAGAGTGCTATATAGTATACTGTAAGATAGTATAGTATAATATGATGTGTTACAGCTCACAGGCTAAGCAGTCTGAGGCATGGACCGCTCTACGGCCTCGTCCAAGGCTGCCTGGAATTCGTGTGAGTAGAGAAGAAGTAAGATCGTCCACCAACTGGTACCAAAGCAACAACGAACGAGTCGCAATGACAGACAGACAGACACACAAACAGAATAATCAGTTTATCATCAAATCTTTCTTGACTGATTTAAAGTCGCTACGAAAACATTAGCGTTCTTGATAACTCTGCGAATACATGCTTGCTGACATCATGCAGATACGCGCCTTCTGCGTCTCGAGCTCCGATCTTGCGGTGCCCTCCTTGACAAGGAACGCGCTCTGTTAAGGCGAGCTAGGGTTCGCCTCGGTTGCTATATGAGCCTCACGGGCTGAGTGCTTTCCTCAGGTTGTTCTGACAACTGACTGCTTTATGCCTGATGAAACTCCGCTCTCATGGCTCTGGTTGTCTATCAATTGGGTGCCGTGCGACAGGCTAAGCTGGAAACCACAACAGCGAAATGTTGCTGGGTCTGATGCTGGGAATGGCAATCAAAGCCATGCAAGAGACTGAGGATAGCTGCAACAGCAATTAACAGAACCAGTACTGGTTCGTTAGGACACATAGCTCTAATTTTCGTGTTCCTCTTTCAAACACAGGCGCTGTAACAAAAGCAGAAACCGAAACTAGTTGGTCTCCTGTTGAGCAGCTTTCTCGCCCCATGCAACCGCCTTCCGCTGCAGATCCTCGGGAGGCAAGTTGTGGTGGACTTAAGAAGGGGCAAGTAGAATACAGGGGACCTCAACACTTACACTAAGCTTCGGATTTCGGACATATAAACCAAGAGCATAAGTTTTTAGGGACGACAACAGGACACTAGTTGCATTTTTCCACACGTGTAGTGCAGTGCTTTGTTGGGTCCCTTGTGTGTGGTCTGTTCCTTCTTCTGCAAGGTACCTGATTTGGAGCAGCGGCAGTGTGGCAGGAAAATCAAATCCTCGCATATTCACCCGATGCTGTGTATTGCAAACCTTGAAGATTTTGGTAATCGTTGTCACGGTCATGATGATAAAAACTGCATATTCTCCACTGAAATCAACAGTGTTCATGGTCTTCGGGGCTTCATGAGACCACCGTGGGTGACGCAGCTCCAGGGGAAGCTCAGACCACTCAAGGACTCCCGAGCTTCCGACATTCTGCCGCTCCAGGGCATGGGCCACAGCGCTACGTGTAGCAGACATGCGCCGGGCTGCCGCCTACCATGGGTGTACCCATAGGGTAGTTCCGTGTTGGGTTCATATATAGAATCCTATAAGGTAGTCCCAAAAAGGAACTACTATGGGACCTATGGGTGTATACAGGTGGTTTAAGGTCCACGACTCCGCGATATCAAAGGATTGAGAGCTACGGATCCGGACTTTAGGGTGTAGGGTTCAGGCGGTTGACATTAGAGCTGGCCATCGAGGGCTACACGGATGTCTTAAGCGAGTAAACAGGCATGAGAGTCACTGGGTGAGATATGAGCGGGTTGGGCTTCAGTTACGGGCAGAGAAGTACCAAGGTAGACTTGAACAAGCCGCCTGGATGGCGATTCGGCTGGCCCTGGACAAGGAAGCACCCGGCATTCTCGTCATCAGCACCTCGGGTCACCAATAGCTTCAACCGGAACTGCCTCAAACATCTAAGAGTCTAACCCTAACCCCCCAGGTAGGGCCTTGGGGGCTCTAGTACCGTATATAGTAGGTACCTGGGGGGTTAGGGTAATCGATCGCAGAAGGCCCAAAGAAGATGCTGAACACCGAAGGGGCCCTGGCTCCCAGCAAGTTGCAGATCTCGTCCGTGCCAGTGTCTTCGTCTTTGTCCAGCCACTCCTAGTAACGGTCAGGAGGTTGGAGATACATCTAGTTTCCGAAAATAAGGGGTACCTTATTTGGGGGTCCTTATACTAAGGATCCTAATATTTAGGGTACTATGTTAGGGTACCTTATTTTCGGAAACCCCCATCTGGCTAATCCGGGCTCTCCCAAACGTCATGACTCGGCCGGATTCCGGCGCCTTGCATACAGAAAAAACTATGAAAGCTGCAAGTAAATTATTGGCTAGGCAAGACCATAGACTCACATACATATACATATATATATATATACAGATGCACATATGTATGCATGTACATACGTACGTACGCATGTGTATGTATGTATGTATGTATGTACTGTATTGTATTGTATTGTATTGTATTGTATTGTATTGTATTGTATTGTATTGTATTGTATTGTATTGCATTGTATGTATGCATGTATGTATGCATGTATGTATGTATGTATGTATGTATGTATGTATGTA